TATGGCTCTCCCTGCAGGGCCAGCCGCACCCTGGGGGGAAGCTATAAGGCAAACTCACCACCTCTTTATGAAGGGCTGTGGGAATCACCCATATGTCAACCTTAATTTGGGGGCTTGGGGTTCAAACCCCAGCATTTCAACACCATATGTCAAGTATAGGTGTCTCTCCATTCATGAGTCAAGTCTGCAACACTTGTTTCTCAAATGTCTTCACAAAGGTTTTACACGTGGTTTGTCCTGCCAAAAACATTAAGCACTACTATTTTATAGTATGTGGAAATGATGGTAAACAACATAAAGCACCTACTGTTGCTTGCATATGTTGTACAATATTTTAATATTGCACAAGTTGCCTGAAAGCAATGTTCAAAATGTTTAAAACAAAAACAAACCAAAATGTAGTTTCCCAGTCTGCATTACTACTTACTCCTACAAGACTATACTCCTGGAGAAATATATTTCTCTAGCTTTTTTTATAGGCTGTTTACTCAGAGTACCTACTTTTGACTAGTTTAAGTGTAAGTATGTAATTGGTCAGATAACATCTGGTCAATTTTCAGATAGAAGAAACAGTGTTTCTACCAACCTTATACTGAAGCCTGTGCCGCCTCCCTTTTAAGTGCATCTCCTTGGCATTAGGATCATTAAAACTGCATTCACAAAGTTTACAGTGAAACCGGATCACCTTTCCTTCATCATTTCTTACCTGGAAAATAAAGTTATAACATAACACATCGGGTTTCACAGTTGTGGGGTTTTTTGTTGGTTTGTTTTTCTAAAAAAAAAAAAAAAAAAGCTGATGTAAAAATTATCATCCATTGTCAGTGATTTAGATTGTCTACCCATCTCAAAACATGATAAGAAGCTCACATAGTATCTGAAAATGCAAAATAGAACTTTCAATTCTGACAGACCGTTATGTTCAATAGTCAACAAAGAATTAAGTACTTCCTTTCCAAAGAGTACACAGCTTTAACTAGTGTTTGAATATATCGAGTTTAATAATTACAAACCTGCAAATAATGAAAAAATTTACATCGGACTTCATCCACATATCTCATGCCACCCACACAAAGAACACCTCACTGAGCTCAAAAGAAACATGCACAAGCCTTTGCAGGTTCAATGTTTTGTCACTCTTATCTTCAAGGAGGGCGCAGGGGATTACAGGCCAGTCAAACTCACCCTGATCCCTAGGAAGGTGATGGAACAGATAATCCTGGAAACCATTTCCAGGCACATGTAGAACAAGAAAATCATCATCAGTAGTCAGCACGAGTTCACCAAGGGGAAGTCATGTTTGATCAACTTGATATACTTCTGTGATGAAATGACCAACCCGGTAGATGAGGGGAGGAGCAGAGGATATTGTCTACCTGGACTTCAGTAAGGCCTGACAAAAATCTCAACAGTCTGGAGAAATGGGCTGACTGGAACCTTGTGAAGTTCAACAAGGGGAAGTGCAAAGTCCAGCATCTGGGGAGAAACAACTCCATGAACAAATATATGCTGGAGGCCACCCAACTGGAAATCAGCTTAGCAGAAGAGGACCTGAGAGGTCCTGGCAAACACCAAGTTGAACTTGAGCCAACAGTGCACCCTTGCAGCAAAGGTGAACAGGATCCTGGGCTGTGTTAGGCAAAGTATCGCCAGCAGGTTGAGGGAGCACTTCCTCTCAGCACTGGTGAGGCCAGATCTAGAATCCTGTGTCCAGTTCTGGGCTCCCCAGTACAAGAGAGACAGTGAACTACCAGAGAGACTCCAACGAAAGGCCACAAAAATGACGACTGGAGCTTTTCTACTATGAGGAAAGGCTGAGACACTTGGAGCTGTTTAGCCTGGAGAAGAGAAGCCTAAGAGGGGATCTTATTAATGTATCTAAATACCCAGAGGGTGTAGAGAGAACAGAGCCAAGTTTTTTTTTCAGTGGTGCCCTCCTTGAAGATATTAAAAATCTGGACACAGTCCTGAACTACTGGCTCTAGGTGGCCCTGCTTGAGGAGGATTGTACCCCTGATAACCTCCAGATGTCCCTTCCAACCTCAGCCATTCTGTGATTGTTTCACGTTGAGTAAATTTTCAATACAACAGTTTAAAAATAATCCACATTTTCCTATCAATACCTCCTCCACATAGTCATGGCCCACTGGCTGTACATCACTTTGCAAAGCAGCAAGAGTCGTAGGAGTCACTGGTTCAGCTGCTGTGTCTGTTTTTACTTCCTGTGTTTGTACTGTAGCAGCAGTCGTTGTTTTAACGCTTTCATTTGATTTCATTTCTTCCAGCTTACATCCTGTTGTCTGAAGCTTATTACCACCTACAAACCAAACAAGTTCAATTGTTAACTTTCATAATACAAGAAAATGACTACATACGATGTGCAAACTGAAGCCTATTTGCAAGTATTGATGTTCTGGCCAAAGCATTATTAGTAGTCTTAAAATATGCTTAAATTTTAACTAACTTTAATATAATTAACTTTTTTTTTTTTTAAAAAAAGTTTAACAAAAAGTTATTTAAACAGTTTATTTTAACAAGAAAAATTTTTGGTTTATATAGTTGAAATTTTCATTATTCATTTTCATGCTTTTTCAAAATAGATGGGACTGAACTGGAACAACTCATCAAATATATTTTAATACCTTTGGTTCATTGTTTGTGGTGGTTTTTAGTGTTTTGTTTTTTTTTTTTTTTTTTTTTCTTTTTTTTTTTTTTTTGTAAATGGATCCAAAAAAGTACTTCTAAACCTTATAATGCTTGCACAAAAAAAATGTAGTATACTCTCAATGTTGCAACTGCATAGATCTTTCCTTCAAGAGCAGGATAGCTTATTGTTGAACAACTGCTTCCTACCTCTAAATGCCTGTCATAGCTTAATTCAGAAGTTTCCACTGTTAGATCTCCCCAGTGTTGCAAGGATGTTTCAGTTGCCCAGTTATCAACTGCCATCCTATTGCAGGTTACCTTAACAGCCCAGACTGTAAACTGAAATTAAGACTAACTGGACTATAAACTGCAATACTCCAACAGCTACTACATAATAAAACAAAGGTGGGAGGCTTCTTATGAAGGTGGGAGAAGCCTCCAAAGAGAGGTCAGAGACAACAGGGCAGAAAACACCATAAACTGTGAAGCAAAACTTTTATATACATTCTTATTTTCACCTATCAGTAATTCTCTTAAACTTTATGCATGAGTAACTCTGTGTAAACTAAATACAAATGTATTTGTTGCACTAAGACCTTTAAAAAAAAAAACAAAAAAAACCCCAAAAAAACCCAAACACAGAATAGATTAGATTTCAAAATAAAGACTGACTTCTGTACTTGCCAACAAAGTTTATTTTTGGTGCAGATATTTTCTTTACAGCTATATTAGCAGCGGTTGAAGATGTTTTGTTGGACACTGTATTAAGTGGTGTATTTGCTGTGGGAGTAAGAATTTTCACTGCAGAGGATGCAGCAGTACTGCTGCTAGTTGCTATATTTGAAACAGAGGCAGTTAGCTTGGAAGCAGATGTGGATGATGAGGAAGTAGCTTGGGTAACCACATTTGGTTCAGTTGAAGGAATGGGCTTGCCAAGTTTTGTGTGCAACTTTACTACCTGTAAATATGAAGAGAAATTCATATTATCTCCCTGGGACAGCTATAAAGGAAAAAAACACACACCAAACTTGTTATAGGTTATGGAAGCTTTATCAGAAACATCAATATGACAAAAAAAAAATTATTACTTCTTCACAAAAAAATATCTTGGGAGGGAAAAAGACATAAAAAATTCTTGTCATCTGTAACAAGGAAATAGTTATCTCAGATTGCTTATTTCCATTAGAAATTCAGACATTTACTCCAAAATCTTTGTAGATGAGAACAGAAAGCAAATAAACTGAAAAGCCAGTAAAACTCAAGGAAACATTTTGCTCAAACTGTTTTAACATGACTGGTTTGTTGCCTGCTTGCTTTTTATTCTCCCTCCAAAAACTGTAGTACATAGAATTAAATAATGTTTATTTACAATTATTATTTTGAACCAAATTAGTTCAGATTCAAAAACACTGTCTCCTTTGATCACTAAATTTTAAGAGTATTTATATTGAAAGACTTCCCAGGTAACCTAGAAAAACTGAAGCTATTCCTTAGACAAAAGGTTGTGGCTGGGTTTTGGTTTTTTTTTTTTTTTTTTTGGTTGGTTTTGTTTTTGTTTGTTTTTTAAAGCACATAAAGACAGTTAAGGAGAATGCAAGAGGCATATTTCAGAACTCTTTAGTATCTCGTAGACAATGAAGAGGTACATGCTTATTCTAAGAAGTAATAAGCAGAAGCCTTTTCACAACATGCTTAAGATAGAGTAATACTTCTTTTTGGTGACAGCTGACCATCACCTGAAGAAGCAATGCATGCAGTCCATAAGAACAAAACATGCAGAATAAAAACTAAAGGCTAGGTTTGAAACCAGCAATAAAAAAAACCTGCTAGACACACCTTTAATACGAGCACATGTACAAAATTGTGATATGCACACAACTGTATACATACACATCTTAGCTTTTTTGGGTTTAAGCATGGTCCCCATCAGAATACAGACATATTAATGTCACATAATACTATAAATTTAAGTTCAAGCAACTCTTAAAAATTGCCTTTTTTCTAGTAGAACGCACAGGATTCTTCAGTGTACCAAAGAAATTGTCTTTTGAGATCTCCTTTTTACACTGATGACAACCTAAATTAGTATTAGTTAGCAACTATCTATGAGGAAAAGAAAGTGACAACCAAGTATATACCATACTGCATATAGAGTTACTGGACATAACCCAAAAATTTAACGGCTCAAATTCATTTAGTAGAGAACAAACACTAGGCAAGTCTATTTAAATTATAATTTGTTCTTGTACTAACAAAAGTAATTTGGAATATTGTTTTTGAGTTTGCTGTGGAATCGTAATTTGCAGAGCAGGATGGCATGTTTTGCTGAGCATTCAGTGCAGACAGTGAGATTCTTGTAAGCCTGAGAAAATTCACAAAAGCATCTATCAAATAGCAAATGTTTATAGTTAGTGGATTCTATTGGCTGCTCGCCTGGACAAGTATGTAAACATTGACAAACTTTCTCACAACAACTCTGAGCTATGCCAGGACTGACAGGGCACACGGACAGAGTGTGGACAGTGATTATTATCCAATCTGTAGCTCAGCTTAGGCGTGTGAACAGGCTTGTTAACCTGTGGGGTTCGGGGGGCTGTCTCTTGTCTACTATAAAAGGCTGTAAAACTTTGCAATAAAGGGATTTGACTGCCGAGCCCCTGGAGTGCATCTCTTCCCTCCGGAGCTCCTTCCCGACAGTTTGCTATGAGATTTATTTCTTTATGTTAATAAGAATGATGCTACTGATGCCACTTTGTACAGTGTTCTGAGCTATAAAGAGCCATAAAAGTTGAATATTAACACTCTATCTGCTACTAACATTAATCTTTCCAGAGTTATGAGGAAAATATGTAATATCTAAATACACATTGTACACTGCCATTACATTTACTATTGAATGGCCAAATTTAAAACACAGGTCACATGGGTTCACAGCACAACCCACAGTCTTTATTCCAGAATGTCCACCTAACTGTACCCAGGGAAAGCATGCTTATCAAAACTCTTCCAAACACGCTCATTATAAAGTCTACTACAGGACGCTGTTCCTTGCTCACTGATTTTCTTTGCAAGAAATACCAAAAAGCGACATATAACAGTCTTGTCTCTTGGAACTGACTAAAGTGTTTCAAAGCACACAGAGCTTCATAGCATCAGACAAATAAAAACGATAAGTCTTGAAAAGAGTTAGGGGGCTCCTCTGCTGACCACTTGCCTGATAGAGAATTATATTATTATTAACAGGCAGACCAGAAGCCAAACTGCTCCCTCTGCTACCACATTGCACACCAGAGATCCAGAGGGATGAACAAGTCAATGTACTCACACACTGCACATTATGTGAAGAAGGAAGTAAGCTGACTCAGGAACCATGCCCTTGGAGATGTAATTAGCCAGGCAACAAGTCCAATTATGTAGAAGTTTCCCAGAGAGAGACTCATGACCTTATCCCACCATCTTGGGAAACTCCACTTGCCACAAAGAGTCAAGAGAGCCCTTTCAACCAGAATGTCCACACAACACACCCACTACATAAACAAATCTCCCAACTCTACAACAGAGTCAGGTCTTATAGAGATGGCTTCTTGCCCTGCCTCCAAGTTCATGTTGAAGGTGGAAGCACCTGGTGGTGATCTCCTAATCAGCTCCCATCCAAGATGGACCAGACCCTGGGTGAAAACCAATTAGGAGGGTCTTTCTTGCCTGGTTGTGGACATCATCCATATGCCAACTCTAATTCAGGGCTGGGCGTTTAAACCCCAGCACTTCAGGGGCACAAGCATGCTACTGCATGTCCTCATTGATTCTTTTCTCCATCTTACTCTATGCTTTCTTCCTAAAATTTACATACTGTCCCAAATGCATCCTCTTTTCATTGATGTCATGACAATATTTTTTCCTCCCTTTCTCCCAACAAGACCCTTCTAATAGTGAGCTTAAATATAAGCTTGAAGCAAAAAGCAGAACTAAACATCTTTAAAGAAAATAATTTGAATTACATTGTTTCTGCATATTTTCTCCTCTCTTAAGATAAAAAAAAATGATGGGAAGAAATATACAACCGACTCGTATAAGGACAAGAGAAAGTTCTTACTTTCTGATGCTTGGCTCCACGGATATGGGCAGCATAAGCATCTGCTCCTGTACAAGACACATCACAAAGCTCACAGCGCAACTGATTCTGAGTTCCACGAGTAGAAGTGCTGCTGTTATTTGTGTTCTGGGAAGCTTTTAATGTTGCTTCTTTCTTTTTGTGTTTCTGGCCTTCTAAGTGTTCTTTATAAGTCTGTTTAAATAAATAACACACACACAAAATAAACACTTTGGACTGCTCATTCATAGTTCATGTGAATACATTAATATAGAATATAGCATAAAACACACACTTTGTATGAGAAATACTTCTGACACTGAACATTTCTTCCATATGACATGCTCTAAGGCATCAGCAGGCCACTTCTAAGACCAAGAAATTTTCTTCCACCAGGATTCCACTTTTAGGTAATACAATATGGTCTTTTCTCCTCTACCTTCTCACTTCCTCAACCAAGTATTCGTCAACAGCTATTACCATTGAAAGCTCAATAAGATCAGAAAACAGCATCTCAGTTGCAGTTTCCTGCATAGCATTTAATTCTTCTTGATTTTGAATTTGCCTCAAACTACAAGACCACAGTTATTAAATGTATCCAGAGAACAGAAAAAAAACTATTTCAAAAGAAGGGAGTGCATAAATAAAGCCACGCTGAAAATGAAATGCAGAAGTTGTTATTTGTTCCTATACCAACACTGGCAATCTATAGAGCAGACAAGGTGGGAAACAATGACAAATTTACCTAAAGAGTAAGAACTGTTTTGCCAAAAACACACACAAACCACTCAAGTAACGACAGGACTAGGGGGAATGGGGCAAAGCTGGAAATGGGTAGATTCAGGCTGGATGTGATAAAGAAGTTCTTCACCATGAGAGTGGTGAGACCCTGGAAGGGGTTGCCCAGGGAGGTGGTTGAGGCCCCATCCCTGGGGGTCTTTAAGGCCAGGCTGGATGAGGCTCTAGACAGCCTGATCTAGTGTGAGGTGTCCCTGCTCATGGCAGAGGGGTTGGAACTGGGGGATCCTTGTGGTCCCTTCCAACCCTGACAGATTCTGATCTGTTTTAGCAGAGGACTTTGGAGCCCTAATGGCTCAATGGTTGGACTTGATGATCTTGAAGGTCCCTTCCAACCTAAAGGATTCTATGATCTACTTTTTATGCACTTGTACTCACCGTGAAACTAAACTGAGATAGTGGAATACAATGAAAAATGTTTTCAGGCTTACCATTCATGAAATTTAGAAATAAGTATTTTCTAAGAAGTTTGCTATGCTAAAAAAAAACCAAATCAAATTCAAAGTTCGGAATACTTCTGGAGTCCAAAGCACAGCTGAAGCTTCTCTGTGCAAGCTATGGGGACATATCTTTTTGTTTTCTCATAGGACCTCTTTCTACAATAACATGCATTTTCATATAATTATTGCTTTAGTAAAAAAAGTATTCAATCAGGTCTTTAAAGAATTAACAAATATTCTTAAAGGAATAATTTTTTTAGCTGACAAAAATATGACTAAAACGTATAGCAGAATACTACATAATACAGGTACCTGTGGTCCAGCACAGCTGATCTTACAAACATCACAGTAGTGGATCTGGGGCAGTTTGGGAGGTTGCTTTGGTTTCACTTGCTTATTTTGGAATGGTGCCTTTTTAGTAAAGGTGGTTCCTGTCCAAGCAGCTGTTGCAGCAGCTGCAGCAGCTGCTGCCACCACTGCCTGGCACTGCCTGTTGCTGTTGCTGCTGCTGCTGCTGGTAATAAGACGACGCAGCTGAATACACTGCAGCTTCATAGCCAGAATAAGAGGTACCTCAAAGAACAAAATAAAATAAATGTTACATCACAGTACATCAAGTATCAACTAGATTATACACTAATTCCAGGCATGTTTCATAAGAGAGTTGGAAGAAGGGGTGCAGGGTAGGATATAAATGATTTATTGAGATCTTGTTAGGCAGTCTGAATTTTTCTTGATGTTTCACTGTACGCAAATACATAGCATACCACTTGTATCAAGAGTATATTTGATTGTAGACAAATCTTTGCAGACATGCAGTTATGATAGATGTATCAAAACATCCCTAAAGAATATGTGAAATTTCCTGGTACATCTGGTAAGACCGAATATGATGTAACAAAAAATTTAAAAGCTTTATCAAAGGCCACTTGAACTAAGTAGTCTTCCAGAACCAGATTTACTGTTAAAGTTCCAAAATGAAGAGTAGGACAGATATTATGTAGAGGAACAAAAAAAAAAAAAAAAAAAAAAAAAACAAAAAAAAGAAGGAAAAAAAATTATAAGAGAAAAAAAAAAAAAAAAAAAAAAAAAAAAAAACGACAATGGCTAGTGCTATTACACTCTATTTTACTGAGTTAAATTGCTCTAATGCAGAGAAGATCCTTGCCCACTAAAATCTATGCAACACACCCTGTCTACACACGCCTTGATTTCTAGTATCAAAGTTGAATAAATCAAGGAAACTGGGCTTTCAAAACTTTGAGCTATTTTTCCCATAAACTTTATACCTCTACTGGTTCAACTATTTTAATCCTCTGATCAGGGTCTGTTTCAAGGAAGTCTTAAAATCTCTTTTTAAACAGAAATCAAAAAGTTCAAGGTAGGTATGCTAGTTGATTACTATTTGGACATAATGTCTTTTCATCTTTAACTACTTTTTGGAGTTCTAATGTGTAAAGGAAAGTTTTTTTTAGAACCCGTCCTCCTCCCATTTTGGGTCCAGACAACCCAAACTTACAAGACTTATACTGGACTGCTCCTTCCTGTTTATGTAATTGTTGTTTGATGGCAACATGCTCCCAGTTTCCCTAGGTTATATTTACATAGATGTGTCTCCTCATTTTTTCTATCCCTCATCTTTTCTCTTCAAACCATACAGTAACACACAAAACACCACTCACAAAGCAATGCCAATACTTCGTAAAAATTCAAAGGATCTTTTAGATTGGAAAATACCTTTAAGACCATCAAGTGCAACCATTAAACCAGCACTGCTAAGGTCACCACTAAACCATGTCCCTCAGCACCACATCTCCATGGCTTTGAAACCCCTCGGGGATTCCACCACTGCCCTGGGCAGCCTGGGCCAGGCCCTGACAACCCTTTCAGGGAACAACAACTTGAGACTGTTTCCTCTTGTCCTGTCACTTGTTCCTTGGGAGACTGACCCCTACATGGCTCCAACCTCCCTTCAGGGAGTTGTCAAGAACGAGGAGATCTCCCCCGAGTATCCTTTACTCCAGAATCAACAACCCCATGTCCCTCAGCCGCTCCTCACCAGACTTGTGCTTTAGACCCTTCACCAGCTTTGTTGCCTTTCTCTGAACACACTCCAGAATGTCAAGATCCTTCTTGGAGTGAGGGGCCCAAAACTGAACCCAGGATTCAAGGCAAAGTCTCACCAGTGCTGAGTACAAGGGGACAATCCCTGCCCTAGTCCTGCTGGTCACACTAGTGCTGATCCAAGCCAGGATGCCGGTGGCCACCTTGGCACACATTGGCTCATCTTCAGCCAGCTGTCAACCAACACCCCCAGGTCCTTTTCTGCCAGGAACTTTCCAGTCACTCTTCCCCAAGCCCAGAGCATTACAGGGGTTAGCTGCAACCCAAGTGCAAGACTTGGCACTTGGCCTTTGTGAAGTGCTGGGGTTAAACCCCCAGCCCTGAATGAGGGGTGGCATATGGATGATGCCCATAGCCAGGCAAGAAAGACCCTCCTGATTGGTTTTCACCCAGGGTCTGGTCAGCCTTGGGTGGGAAGTGATTAGGAGGTCACCACCACATACCCCCACCTTCCACATGAACTTGGAGGCGGGGCAAGAAACCAACTCTATAAGAGCTGACTCCACTTGCAATGCAGTTCTGTGGCTTGCCTACACAGTGCATGTGTTGTGTGGGGTTCTGGGTATTGACAGGGTCTGGGTATTGACGGGGCTCCCTGACTCTTCATAGCAAGTGGAGCTCCCAGGACAGCAGGGCAAGAAGAAGAGTCTCTCCTGGCAGTTACTATGTGATTTGGATTGGACTGATCACTTGGGTCCATCCATCTACCACAGCATGGTTCCAGAGTCATCTCGCTCCCTTCTGCACATCCTATGCTGATAGTGAATGTATCAATTTATTCCTCCCTCCACTGGTCTGGCATATTGGATTGTTGATATATGATTTAAGAGCAGAGGGAGGACTTTGACTGCTGGTTTGCCCATTACTGATAAAATCTTTCTATGCCTGTCCTGGTTTGGGGTAGAACAGGGCTGGTTCTGTTCAGTGATGTTAACTTTTCAGCTGAAGCTCTTCTAATTAACTGCCTTGTCGGAAGTTAGCAGCAAACTGCCTGCTTTTAGCAGTGATAAGACTTCACATTTAGTTACCACCAAGGATTGGTATGCAGGCCAAGGTCACTGTTAAGCTTGTATACCACACATAGAGGGGCAGAAAGTACACCACACCTGTAGGGAGGAGTGCAGACAAGATCAGGGACCCTAAGATTCACCAATGGGGTATTCCATCCTATAGCTGTCATATCCAGTGAAAGCTGAAGGGTCAAGAGGGGCAAGCCCTTCCATCACCTTCTTCCTCACTTTGGCTGCTCCTGCAGTGAGTGGCATCCAAGGAGGATCCACCCTGCCTTTTATCCGGAGCCCTGTGTTCCTGAACTGAGTTCCAGAAACCAGCTCCTGTACCCAGTCGCTGTCTGCAGCTGAGTCTACCCTGGGACGCTCTCCCCGGGGGCTGCT